TTGTGCCGCCCCGCGACTGTTGCAGCCGGGAGCCCGGGTTCCCCTCACGGCCGTGCTTCCCACCGCCTTGGGCGCGTAGGCAGAGGGATCGCTGTTACCGATAAAGATTGCAGCCGTCTTTGTTTGATGGAAGGGGTTGCTGCAGCCGAGTTGAATTGTGCCTGGGTCCCTCTCCGCCCTGGAGGGAGGGAGGGAGGAAGGGAAGCGGCTCTCCGAAAAGTTGCACCTTGACAGGACGTCAAGCAGCTATTCAGGGTAGGCGCCGGAAATAGCGGGCGCTGGAAGCATCGGGGTGGGTGGCTGTATTGCGCCCTGTTGAGCCTTTTTGTAAGGGCTTCCAGTCGATGAAGTTGTAAACGTAGCTGTGCTCGATTAGTTGCAGGTCCATTATTAAAAGCGTTGTAAGTTTTCTTCTTAAAATATACGAATAACTCCAATATGCATCAGAATTGTACGTATCTAGCTCCTGTATTTCATTCTGTCAATAGGTCTTAAACACTACATGCAAGAGGTAAATGTTACTCTCATTTCACAGATGAGAAAGGAGTCACAGGAATATATAAAGTATAATTGGACTGAAAATCTTCTACAGACACGATATGGAAAGAATGTGCAATTTCCTTAAGAGCTTAGTGGCATTTATAACTGGTATTTACGTAGTTCTACTTTTTGTTGTTAATCCTGAGTTCGTTTTAAAAGGCCAGCTCAAAGCTGTGAAGTGGCTTCTTGCAAACTTGCTCCAGCCTTATGCTTTTGGCTTTTACATTGAAGTACATTCATTCTTGGGATTGGTAGGTGCTACTGTACTATAAACCATAAAGAAAGATACTTTTGAAAGCTATTCCTAGCTAAGCAGTTCTCACTCTGAGATCAGGCATCTGACGGCAGAAACTTTTTTTGAGACAGGAATAGGTCTCTCTAATTGTATGCTTTGACTATAAAATAGCTAACTGCTTGAAAGCTCTATTTAGGTAATCTTTGCTTGAAATAGATGTTTTCATGGCTCTAGGATATAAACCAATCAATTTAAATAAGATCCTGAAACCGTAGTTTGCTGTCAAAGGGAAAAGAGTTGAAAGTTTGAAGACATGATTTAGCAACGTTTTTACTACTGTCAGTGTCTATGGGGCAGAAGACCTACAAAGAGACTTCACAATGTATAGCAACTGACTTCTTGCTTTATTGAGGTTTCTTTAATCTCATTTTTTTAATTAAAATGAGTGAAATAATCACCATTTGGCTCTCTGCTGTAAGCTTTTAAGAAACAGTATTCCATTCTAGAGGTTTGTGCATTTTGAGGGTTGGTTAATGCTCTTCCAACATTTGAACAATCTTTTTCTGGGGATTATCTCTGCAAGCCTAAATGGAATTGACTGATAGCCTTGCCAAAAGGGGAAGGAGGAAAATAAACTGATGGGCAAGTTGAAATGCAAAGAAGAAATTCCTTACAGGAATGTTTTTTAAATGTTCTGTTACACTTTATTCCTGGAGTCTGAAAGATACTCTTCCTTCTTCTAAGACTAAGCAATACCAGTGTATGTAAACAGAGTAGTAAGATTGCTTATCAAGGTCTCTTGAAACTTTTCACAACCCAAACAATCAGTGCACATTTAAAAACTGAGGAGTAGGTTTATGAAAAAACCTAGGTTGCAAAACGTTAGGAAGCACCCTGAAACAAGCTTGTAGTCCTCATCAGCCAGTCTTTGAAACTTAAAATTAGGGTAGGGTTTTGGAAAAACTTTGACAGTCTTTGTATCCACCTAAAGCTTTTGCCTTGACAATGGAGGTGGGCTTTTCTGGCATGCTGGTCATGAAAACAGAATGCTCATGGAATTCTTTTAAGGATGGGAACAGCCATCTTCCTTCTGCAACATCCATGTTGTGCTGCAGTATGCTGACCTTTGAAAAAGAATTCTTTTTGACTGGTCTTTTTACATCTTGCTGTTACTCACTTTAACAGAACAGAGGGTAATCTGAACATGGAGTAGGAAGTATGAAGCTAAGTAAAAAAATTAAGGGTTTAATTTTACAGTTAAGTAAAACTTAACCAGGCTTCCTTATATATCTTGCACTACTAATGCCTTTTGCTGTTGGAAAAAACAGGCTTACTTTTAGATTGAAAATTCTCTGAATCGTTTTGTTAAGTGGGTTATGAAAAAGTAGAAGAGAAGGATTTTGGTACTGTGTTTTTCTCAATTATAGTAACACTGTCAGAAGAGATTGTGGAGAAGTGCTGGTAAGTGAGGGCTGTTTAACATCACAGAAGACCTGTCACTGAAGTCTTGTTTTGGTTTAGAAGTTTCTGATGGAGCTGTTAAACACCAGTACAACTGATCAGATTTACTAAAACGAAGATCTTAAGATCTGCACGTATGTAGTTTGCATTATTAAAAACCTCTCTGCTTACATCTTCATGGTGAAAAGGAAAAATGCGTGTCTGTGGCAGAACTTAGCTGTTACTTTACATAAATTTACAACAGAAAATGCAGTGTGCTTCTAGTATTGTACAGTAACTCTCTAAGAAAAATGTAAATTAACTTTTCCTTCTGTGTCTGGACAACACATATATTGCACATCTCACTCTTAAAATTTGCTCTTTATAGGGCTTATAGGTACTTAACAGTGGACAAAAATGGATGCAAAGCAAATTCTTAATTTTAGAAGAGGTGAAATTGTTTCAGTTCTTGCTTTCTAGGGGTAGGAGTTAGGGTTTTATTGCATGTTCCTGAGCTCTTCCACTTGTCTTCTCCCCCTCAGAAACAAATTGCCTTAATTACAAAATAGCATGCTTCTCCCATAGTAACTCATTTGTGCTTCTGCCATTCTAATGAACAGAATGAATGTGTAAGTATGACATGAATTCTATTACTCACATTGTATTCAAAGTACTGTGTCATATGTGCTACTTGATTTAGTAGATGAGGGGACACTTAAGAATGAAACTATCAATTCCTAAAGGTACTTAAACATCAAAACAAACTTTCACTTTGGGAAGGGAAATGGCAGCAAGTAATTCCATTATGCATTATGTCTTTAACATAATCTTAAATCCTCTCTAAAGCTCTTATTCTACTCTATTAAAATAAAAGAATGGACTATTTCATCTTTACCTTGAATGATGCCAGTATTGTTGACTAGCTTTAAAGATTGTGACTCCTAGTAAAGATTTGTGTAGTATGAGAACTTGTGGATCAGGACTCTGTTTTATATAGGATGATAGATTCACTGGATTTGAAGACTACAGTATTCTGTAATGTGATAGAACAAACAGCTTGGTGTTTGACTGGGAGTTATTCTGTCCATGGGTAAACAATGTACAATCTCTGTTTAAAAATGGGAAAAACTTAAGCAGGACACCTTACGGTTTCCTTATCCAAATACTTTAAACCCCAGCTCTAGAATAGGCTGTGTTTCTTAACAAGTGGTGTTACAATGAAAAGGCTCTGTGAGGATAAACTCCTAAGTATAGATCAGTATGCCATGTGGCTCCTAGTCATACATCTTTTGAAACTGTGAAGAACTCGCATGCAGTGTGATTTGTTTTAAATAATTTTTGTGGCATTTGTTCTAAGAATCTGACCTTAAGATAGGAAACAATGCACTGTAGCTGTAAAGAATGTGTAAAGAACACCACAGGTGGTGTTTTGCCAGAATTGGACATCTACAACTTAATAGACAAATGCTCCTACTCACTTGTCCTTATAAGTCTGAATTTGGTCTTTGGCTTATGTATATAGATGGCGTAATCATTTTGGACAGGCTGCCAAACTGAAGGTTAGCACAAAACCATCTTGGAACAGTGTTCTATCTATTACAGTGACTAGCTGATAAGATAATTGGGAAAGGGCAGGAAAAAGGTAAGATAACATGTTAAAACAAGGGCATCTTAATCAAATGAAAACGGAATGCATTTTCTCATCTAGCTACAACTACCAATGATGCAATACATGTCTCTTATATTAATTTAAGTCTTCTTGAAGTGAATCTAAGTTTTTCCTGACTGTTCTGTCTCTTTCCCATTAGTGATGCTAGTTCTACATGAAAACTAACAAGATTGTATTGCACGCATGCTGGAGACAACCTGGTCATGGTCCAGGTGATGGGAAGGAGGTGGAAAATTAGAGATTTTTAGTAATCTGTTGGATTCTTAACATGTAATACCCTGCACAGAGTAATTACAAGTTTAGTAATAACACCAGTATTTATTTCTTTGTTGCGTTATGTTAGCTTTTAAATTACATGTGTCTTTAAACATAATAATATAGAATACCTAGCACTACTGATGCTGTTGAACAATATCAAGCTTCCCTCTAGAAAGGAACTGAGTGTTCAGATGACTTATTTCTTAATTTGAAACAACTACAGTCACTGCACCCTGGAGGTGATTGAAGATGACTGAAGTGAAATTGAGATTAAGTGCCTGAGAACAAATGACATTTAAAATTATGTTTTGGAGCACATAAAACAATTCTTGTCTCCTAGGTTTATGAGGTTGAAAAGCAGAATAGCTACATTTCTTTATCAGTTTTATGTCTTTTGATGTTATTGTTTCACCATAAAAAGCATCTGAAACTTTTATTTAGCACTTTGATCCTGTATGACCTGAGCTCCTTGGTGAAGGGGTAATGGGGAAGAACAGCAAAGTAAGTAAGAGTGCAGTCAGCTTTGGCCTGGGTTTAGCCTGATGAACATTTACAGGGTGTTTTATGCTTGTTCCTCTAAAATATGAGTGCTGTAAACATGGTGAAGTGTAGCTAACAGACACCTTGGGTGGAGATGCTGGTGCGGTACTAGGCAGATGGTGGGAAGTGAAAATGGCTGGATGTGTCTGACCTGTGGCTGAAGGACCAAAGGAGGAACTAAGGAAGCTTCATGAAATAAGAGTATCTTCTAGGTTTCAGGACTGAATTAGACGTGCATTATAGATAGTGTATGAACGTTGTACTTAAGTACAAGCTAACTTTCTTTTTGGGGACTGGAAATAACTTAGAGCAGTTATAACAGCAATAAAACCACCTCAAGTGTTTGATTAAAATGCTTTAAAATTAGATTATATTATTGGCTCTAACTTACGTGCAAACATGATTTCTTTGTTTAGATCTTCACCTTGCTGCTGAGCTTGGGAAGACACTACTGGACCGTAACACTGAACTAGAAGAATCTTTACAGCAAATGTATGCAACAAATCAAGAGCAACTGCAGGAGATAGAGGTAAATATTGAAGGGATCCAAGTGTTAAAGCATCTAGACCTGTGACATAATAGCACATAAGTTGAGATCTGAATTTCTTGACATCTGATGGACACTTTAAAGAAAAATACTGAACAATCTTTAACCGCTTCTGCTGCTTTGAGAATTTGAGAACCTGTATAGGCTTGATCATAGTTAGAACTGTTTGTCTGACTACCGGAAGCTTTGTGCCGTTAAACTTCATGTTGGATTTGGCTTGTTTAATGACAAATGACTGGCGTCTTTCTTTTTGTACATAAAAGTTATTTCAGTTATTTTATTGCTAAACTTTGCTGATCTTGCCAGGTAAAATGACATGAAATTATATGATGAATGAATTTAATAATTTAAATTACTATATGAAAATGTTGTTACTGCACTGAAATTTAAACGCTGATAAGTGCAGGAGAGAGAGATTTAAGTAAAATCTGAGGATATGTCTTTCCACTAAGCTGAGCTGTGGTAAAGGGTGCTAAAGTCTATTTCAGTTTAAAAGAAAAAAAAAAATCCCAGCAAAAACAAACACTTAAATAGTATCTAAATACAGGACGTAGTGGATATATTGTTCTGTATTTTCCGGCAGGGGGGAAATCATAACCACCCTTTCAAAACCACTCATCTTTGTGTTCCTTGGTGGAAAAACCTGGCCGTTTTTGGCAATTTTTTTTTTTTAAATATTGCTTGTGTTCTTGCAGACCTAGCATTTGTCAGCATAATGATTTTTTTTTTCAGCTATTAGAGGGCAATGTGTGGTCTCTAATAATTATTAAATATTCAGTACTTTGCTGACTGACAACATGTTGGAAACGTAGTCAGCATTTCAGTTTGGTTTTGGTACAAATCACAGGGAACAGGCTGTGACTGGTACACTAGATTTTTACAAAGTCTGAGTTCCTTTGTGCAAGCAGTACTTACGCAGTTACAGACAGTGTGTGGATTTTGTACAGCTGCAACTTAAGACTTAAAACATTATCATTGCAGTGATAACGGGTAACTTAATCCTAAGCTTAATACTTACAGATATATAGGTATCTTTAAAGTAGTCATGTTAACATAAATGCAGCATTTTTATTAGGTGATGCACAATTTCTGGGTGCAGGTTTTTTTTTAATAAGATACTTCTGTTTTACACATCATACTTTGGCTCTTTCCTCTATCATGTGCTAAACGTCATCTTTGTTATCCTCTTCATTCTGTAATACAATAGTTAGAATGGCTGATATTTACATTAGTGCCACAGCATTACAAAAAATGTATCTGCTTATGCAGAGACTTAAAATAACTCATTGCCATGAACAGTTTTGATAAAAAGATTAATTCTTAAGATCTAGAGATGACAAACACTTCAAGGTGCTATACAAATACTGTTCCACTTAAGGTTCAACACCTGTATGAACAACCATGTTTAAGGAAGTGTTTAACACAGTTACAACGCACCTTTTGAAATAACACAGCGTAACTTTCCAATAGATAACTAACCTGGCTCATTGAGTGTAGCTACTTAATAAGCAGATGTATTTTAATGCTATCTTGAAATATGGAAAATGTATTCTTGCTAAGCTGCATTCATTTATAGAAATAGTCTAGTGCCATTAAGGACGTAATATCCTGTTGGTTTAAGCCAGTTTATTTGCTTAAGCTTTTTGGTGGGTTAGTATTTATTGACGACAGAAGAAAGCTTCAGCACCAGGAAGTGGTCAGAAGTGTCCTTCCAGCAGTGATCTATAGTTGGGGTGTTGCAGGGTCAAGTACTTGTATGTTCAGACAACCTCAGACAATGGCAGACTAATTTATTCTCTCAATATCTTGCTTTGCTTAGCCAATCAAAAAAAACAAACCAAGACTTGTGCAATACTGCTTTTTGAAGGCTTTATCCGACACCTCTTTCTTCTCTTTCCTCCTCTCCCCCAGCATGGGTAGGACTGTATTGGGTTGTCCTGTTGGCTCCCTCCAAGAGGAGGGGGACGGAAGTGGGAGAATAGTATTTGTGATGTTTCTGACATATAAGTAGTGCCTGCACCTTTATTGGCCCAACTTACTGTGTTCAGTCAAAGACCCTGTAGACTGTATTAGTATCTGCTGTAATAACATGCTGTCTTCTCTGTTCCACCACCTGTCTTAATCTTCTGTCTTTTCCCTGTGCAGTTCAAAAGTGTATTAGCAACTCAAAACATTTCTTTCTCCAAAGAAGTCTCTCTTGCATCTGGATTTCTGGTAGAAAAGGGAAAATCAAATGAACCCATTCTTCAAATACCCAGAGGGAACCTCAAGATGGAGGAACTGAATATATTAGCTTACTGGCACAAGGGATTGTTACAGGAATTCACTGAAACAGAGGGGAATAAAGTTAGTACATGCAAGGTGCAATACTTTTTAGCTGGTAAAAGCAGTTCAGTCAGTTATTTTCATACCTGTATTTCTGTCTTTTGTGGGAATGCAGAATACCCCACTGCACAGGATACATGTGAACGTGGCATATCCAGTCTCTATGCTTGATTTTTCTTTTTTCCTAATTTTCAGGTGCTTGTCTCTATAACGTAAAGGTGATCTTTCAGCTGTTCCTGTAGCTACTCTGCTGCGTTTTTGACTAGCTTTTTCAGTGCAGTATATCAGTGTAAATCTTTGGGGTTTTTTCCTATTAATTCACATCTTACGGGTAGCAAAGTCTAGAACTGGCTAAGAAATCATTCTGAAATATGGTACTACCTTGTCTGCACTGATAAGGAAGGGTCAAAGGCTTTGGGATGCTTAAGATTACATCTAATATATTAAATGCTAATATACTAAGCATTTTACAGCCTTGGATCATTATATCTGACCTCTGTGCTGACACGTGTGCCACTAACTAATCATTGTAGATGTAATAGACGCTGGATTGAAAGGGCAACTTTATTCCTGTCTGAATCTGTTCTCAGCACTCAGACTTCAGAAATACTGACACTCGCCTTTTATCATGTGGTAGAACGCAAGAAGTCTCAACTGCTGCTTCATGTTAGGTGCTCAGTTGCAGGGGAGGTGGAATAAATGTGAACTTCTGAAGTATTTATTACCAGATCTATACTTTGTTTTGGTGGCCCAGTTATACTAGGCCGGGTTGACCCCAGCACTGAAGATACTGGAGGTGGCAGGTGGGGAAAATGGTGCTTCACCTCTCCCATTCATCTGAAACGTCTGCAAAAGCCCATTGTAATAAGTGGTAACATCTAATTCTGGCACCAAAGCCTTGGTTTCTGTGCTTAGCCATGCTTGTATTGCTGAAGAAAATCTGAAGATCTCCAGCTCCTTGGAGAATAACCAATAGGGAAAGTTAATCTGAAATGGGTCACATCAAGATTCTGTTGCTAATCCATGTACTATTTTTGTGTAAATCCTCTGTCATGTGCGCACAGGCTACAAAAGGATCTAGCCAGCTGCTATCACATTGATCTTCTAGAAGTCTGTATGTAGCAGTTACTAGTCCTAGATTAACTTATTATCTGTTCTTAAATTGCCTAAAATGTAAACCCATCAATCTTTTAATGAGGTAAAAGGTTAAGTAGAATGTTAGAAGTTTTGAGTATGTAACAGGCCTATGTAAAGAGAAGTAATTCTGCCTAGAAGTCTGCTGGATGTTCCTACTTGAAGTTTACTTTTCAGTAAGTATCATGTAGTAATACAGAATATATTGCAAGAAATAAATTCTATGTAAGAACAAAGTATTTCTGATTTAAAGGGTTAGGATTTTTTGTTCAAGTCTGTTTGATGCAAACTCTCGTGTGGATTTTTAGAATTGGATCAGTCCTATCCTGGGTGGGACAATGTAAGACACTTGTATTAAGAGCCTTAGGTGATTGTTAACTGCTCTTAGACTGAGAATTCCAACCTTTATGACATTATTCAAGAAACTTAACAGTTTATGTTGTTAATCGTAAAACTAAAGAGGATTAAAATGAGAATACTTCCATGTGGAGTTTTATTTTATACAAAAGGCAGGAGACCTTTACTTGGGATTACAGTAACTGGAGTAGCTCCCTGTGGGTAATTAAAGATTGAATTCAGTAATTTGATTGATTATACTTCCTGACACGTAATAGGCCACATACCGTCTTAAGTGTGACCACAACCTAAATTCTGTTCTGCTAAACCTAATGCTGCTTCAGACTGGAAAAACTTAGGTCAGCTGAAAAGACATTTAATTATGGATGGTGCCACCCAATATTTCAGTTTTAATGCTAAGAAAATTGTTGGGTCAACACTGTTAGAAAACTTCTGTTGGAGCCCACTGCAACTTTTAGAAGGACTCAATAGATAGTTAAGGGCTATGTTGAAGTCTGGATTCATGGCTGTATTAGGGACAACCGCAGTACAGACAAACCCAATCCAGAAGGCTTGTGTGCTGGCAAAAGCCTGGCTGCAGCAAGGATAGATGAACATAGCTTGCACAAGCAAACCCAACGCCTCTGGACAAAAGACTGGTTGATCAGCCTGGGTTGACCTCCATGACAAAGACAAGCTGCCTAGCTGAGTTACTGATAGCGCCTTTTCAACTGAATGCTTACCAAAGCAACCACCGGAATCCACATTTCTGGAACTTAGTAGTTTCTCTATGAATGTGAATAAAAATGCAGAATAGTAGTCCTGTCTTTGTGTTTCAAGTATAAATTAGTTAGAGCAATACTGTCTTGCAGTACCTCACAAAGCAAGTGGAGCTCTTGCGTCAGATGAATGATCAGCATGCAAAAGTTTATGAACAGCTGGATGTGACAGCAAGAGAACTCGAAGACACTAATCAAAAACTAGTTGCGGAGAGTAGAGCTTCACAACAAAAGATATTAAGGTAACAAACTTATACTAGATCCCCTTCCCCCCTACCCCAGTTGATAATATGAAAAAGAGCAGTCCAGGTGTATTTATGTAGTTCTTGGGTGGCTGTCTCTGTCTAGTGGTGTTCTACAATATTGTTAAATTGAAAGGATGGTTTTATTTAAAGGTCTTCTGGGGCCGAAGAGCAGCCTTTGGAGAAGAAATTACAATATGAGGGGATGGGAAATTCCCATGTCCTTGACTAAACGCTCAAATGTTTTAACACCAGTCCTTCACCTTTTAGCTTGACAGAGACTATTGAAAATCTGCAAACACACATAGATGACCTGCAACGACAAGTAGAAGAATTGAAAAAGTCTGGACGAGGCCGGATGAGCCACGAGAGATCTGACCAGCCAAGATCAATGCATAGTTTCTCATGTTTGAAGGAGCTGTATGACCTTCGCCAGTAAGACTTTTTACCTTGCACAGCAAAGAGAATACTGAAAGTATTTTAAGCAAAGCTTTAAAAACTAAGACACAAGCACAGATGTCAAACAAGGTAGCAGAAAAACATCTAATGTTCGCAACTAACAAAATGTCTGCACAGTCCTGCACTGTGTGGTGTTGCCACCGCTTCTGGCATGCTTCTAGACCGCACTAGTCCTTGTGCGAGAGGAACTGCAGGTTCCACTTTCTGTCTTGAAAGGTTCTCTGCCAAAGTCTCCAACCATATCAACTTGTAACCTCAAAAGCTTACGGCGACTTGCACCCCACTTTTTTCAGCCAGATAAAAGCACACACACAGATAATCTGAAAAGCAAGCATCCTAAATGCAAAATATTTTCTGTAACTTACCCTTTCCTTGGATGTCTGTGGATATCTTCTTTTCAAGGAAGGCAGGATTCCTGCAATAGCTTTCCTAAACTTAAGCTGGTAAAATGGTGCCTGGAGCTCTGGGCTGCTTTTTAAATTTAGAGCAGTTTTACCCAGCTGAACTGCATTAGTATGCCCATCAGGACAATCACCTGGGGTAAAAGCTGAGACTAGCTTCAGTCTCATAAGTGAATCTCATAAGTGAAGCACCTCCACAGACAGGCAGAACAGGCTTTTGAGTCTGGGCTGCAGCACTACATGGAGGTAGGACTGTAGAATAAATCTGTACATCCAAAAAGAAGTTATTTCTTGACAATTCAGAAGATAAGTGGATTCCTTCAAACTGCCAAAGGCTTGTGGAAATACCAGCCTACAGAATTGCCTTGTCAATTCTGAAGCTTGTTTCCACAACCAATAGTGACAAAAGTTACAGGAGTGGAGTGCTGCGGAAAAAAATCTGAGCGTCGGAAAGTCTTGCGTGATATGTGGAGGCAATGTTTATTTAAACTTAAATTGTAGGTCTGGTTGTTCAATAAGCTCGTCTGTAACTTGAAACTGTTAATGAGCTGCCATTCTGCTTAAGCTAGGAGGCTTGATTTGATGGCATCTAAGAATTTACAAATTCCTTTCTGATTATTAAATGGACTGATAGGTTAGTAAAATGACCGCTATGTATACTTTGAGGTGTGTTAGCACACAGTTTAAATCTGTCTTTAGTTACCCAGGACAGGAAAGCTTTAGGAGGTGTGGTCAGCTGTACTTCCTACATTTGATAATACTTACTTCTGTTTCTGCAGGTATTTTGTTTATGATCACGTGTTTGCAGAAAAGATTACTTCGATGGATAGTCAGCTAAGTCCCCTAGAAGAAGAAAATGAGAACTTAAAAAAGGCAGTTACAGTTCTGCAAGCCCAACTTAACCTAGAAAAAGAGAAGAGGGTAACAATGGAAGAGGAATATAGTCTTATGGTAAAAGAAAACTGTGACCTTGAACAGAGGCTTGTTGATACAGATTTATATCGGGCTCGTGCAGAGGAGTTGGAAGTGGAAGTAGCTGAAATGCGACAAATACTTCAGTCTGAAAACACATTCCATAATGCAGAGAAATTGGTGCCAGAATCCTTTTTCATTTCATTCAAGGAATCTTTGGAAAGGGAGCTTGGTCAGAGCCCGGCAGATGATGGACTTCTGACTGTATCAGAGCTTGAGAAGAAGGCACTGAAACGGAGCAGCAGTGAAACTTTCCTAAGCAGTGCTGCAGGGGGAGACATTCTAAGGGGCCATGAAGAAACATGTATTAGGAGAGCTGAAGCTGTGAAGCAGCGAGGAATCTCTGTACTTAATGAAGTTGATGCTCAGTATAATGCTCTGAAAGTGAAGTATGAGGAACTTTTGAAGAAGTGTCAAATGGATGAAGATTCTTTGAAACACAAGGCTGTACAAACGCTGAAGCAGTATTCCAAAGACCTACATGTGGGGAATACCCAGTATGATCTTTCAGCTAGCAATCAAGAATGCACAAATGTGGAGCTAAGTGACTCTCCCACAAATGCTCTTCCTGAATATAAAGCACTCTTCAAGGAAATTTTTAGCTGTATCAGAAAAACAAAGGAAGAAATAGATGAACACAGAGCTAAGTACAAGTCCCTCTCCTCTCAGCCATAACATTGGACATGCTGATGATCCATCTTCTGTTGGTGACTAATCTGTTAGTCAAGAAGGGGAAAAGCTTTATACGAGTGTCAGAAGACCCCTTGTACTGATGTATTTCTTGAGCACTCAAAATGAATGTTTTGAATTGGCTTGTAGACCTGTAGTTAACAAGCTAGTTAGTTAACAGCTAGTCTCCCTGTACCTATGTAGCAATAGATTTAATGTTGTTTAACACTGTCACACAAACCAGTTGTTGTAAAGCAAGCAGATGTCATAGCTTAATACTGCACTACTACTTCATACTACACAATCTCTGGCCAGAGCAGTAACTGACACTAGTTTCCTTAGTCCACTTCAAAAATAAGAGCTGAGAAATCTGTACTGTATTTCTCACAAGGAATCAGACTCAAGCTTTCCTTTGGTTCGCAGGTGATGATCTAGCCCTGTAACTACATCTGTGTAGAAAATTAACGAAAACAAAGCCCCTGACCAGTATCATGGGCAGCCTCTCCTTGATTCTTGAGAATGAAGTTAGCAGTCTAGCTGAACTTGCTTTGGCAGGGAAGTGGAGAGCTGGCATGGCAGCCTGCACTGTGCTTGGTTTAAGCTAATAAATACCATGTTTTCACATGCACTGAGCTCTCCCATAGATCAGTATAAATGTCTTCATACTAAGAAAGGATTTGATGTAAAGTTTGCGTGGCTTTTTAGGTATGGTTTCTTATGTAGGGCACTTTGTCTTAAGGCAAGATACTGTGAATTGATTATATATGTTATTTGGGACCTGCTGTTCTTTGGAATGTCTGCAAAGTACATTTTTATGTGTATTTGGGAAGATGATAGAAAGTTGCAATTTAGCTAGTTAACTTTAGCAGTAGCATTGACATAGTGGAATAGCTTTTAATCTTGCAGACCACAAACTCCAAGTGCTCGAAGGAGACAGGCCAGGTAAAAAACCTTATCCCATTGTTTTGTCTATTGCTTCCAGTGTCAGCTTCTGTGGATCTATTCCATGCTGCCTGGGGGGTGGGAGGATGGACACAGCATTGCCAGAACATATCCTACTGAAAACAGGGGACCATGTTCTTGTTCTTCCTCTCCTCCATTCCCTAATAATAATTCATATGTATTCAAATTCTGAAAAACAAGGGACATGGAGAAGTACATTCCTTAAAACTGCTTCAATGTGTGAAGAAAACAAAGGCTTAGAGATTAAGCGGGGGGAAAGGCACAATGAAGGGTGACATCCTTCTCCTTATAAAGGGTCTCATAGCTTAATTTGGTCAGCCGTTCTTGGGAATCAACTTACTGCCTGTCTGAGTTGCTGCGATACACCAAACAGTTGACACAGAATGTTGACAATTTCTCAGCTTTAGTTCAACTGCTGCTGTTGCAGTTCTGTCTGCCTCATGTTGTACCCTGTTAAGCTTGTGTATAGCTGTCCTTCAGTTGCAGTATTAAGACTTCATATTGTGGGAGTTTCTCTAAAATATGTATTGCATTCTGAAAATTATTTAAAAATGGGAATCTGAATCTTGTGAATATTTTTCTAAGCAAATAAATAATCCAGTCAAGCTGCATGTGTAACTAGTAATTATGCCCATCTGTGCCAATCAGGAAACAGTAAACTTGGTGCAGATGGCACCTGCATTATCTAGTCTTGCCATCTTTTCCTATGTAGCTCAGATGGAGTTCCCATTAAATTTGTATTTTAAAAAGGTTACACTAAGTGGAGAAGAATAGGCCTGTCTGGGAAAGAAATCCAGAGGGAACTAAGTACTTTCTCCTCCTTGTTGTGGTGTTTGTCAGTGCTGTTCAAAAAAAGGGGGGGGGGAAGGGGGAAGGCAGAAAAGCCACTGTTCTGCCATCAGGTTAACTGTACTGTCACTGTTTCACTAACACTTGGATCCTCATCACATGGAGGTCTGCCCCATTCAGATACTGGAAAGCAGTAACCTGAAATGAGAAAGGCACGACTCTGTTAGTCACAAATGATTTACTACTAACATTCCTCACCGCTTTAGGGGAAGGGGGATCCACACCTGCTGGACCAGAAGACATGTAAAAAGCAATTCAGACTTTTTGGTTAAATAGGTGATCTTCAGTGGTTTATTACTGTTGGCTAATTTAGAGCACTTTCATATATACAATTCTTATGCTTTAAAAGGATCATAAATGTTCTCAGATTTCCACAGAGCTACTTGATTCTTCTGTAATGTAACTTCCCCTTGGCTACCTGTGCCATTGCTAAGCTCTGGCCATACTGTACTTTAACATGTGACTGTACATATTGTGCAATAAAAACCTCGAAGGCTGGGTTCTTCTTTCCTAACTCCTCTCAGACTGTAGCCTTCCCAGAGAGCAGCTTTAGAGAAGCAGCCATAGGTAATGCTGTGGCAACAGGGCCGTACTAGGGCCGCATCAGCTGTGGGTGCATGCAACAGACCAAGACAAAGGCTGCAAAAGCTGCCTGAACTTAAAACACCTCCCTGTTGTGTTGATGTAGTTAATAAACTACACTGGAGTATTAATTAAGATAGAGTTTTAGCAGTTTAAAAATAGGTATTTTCCACAGAAATGTGAAATGCCATTAAGTATGGTAACAATATTCTTAGCCAATCTTACCTGGATTAACTACATTAATCTGCTTATTTTAATCAACAACACAACTCAGCCTTTTCTTAGGGTAAGTAGATGAAATGAATAGAATCTCCTTGAGCTTCTCATGTGATGGAAGTTACAGCAAAGAATATGAACAGTAAAGTAACTGTGTTCTACAATGCTTACAGTAGGGCATTCCTTATCTTACTGCAGTTAGGCTTCAGTGATAAACCTGTAACAAAAAGATCAGTTACTGTACCTTGTGCAACAGGCCCTTAGCTTGACAGCCACCTCTTGCTCTCCCTTATAGAACATGATGCAAGCGGAATGATGTAAAGCAGTTTACTATCTACCTGTAACCTCTACTAAAACAGTCCTGACCTTTCCTTCCGCCATAAGCCTTCAGGCTATAAAAGGAGAGGGTGCAGCTTCCATTTCTTCTTGAACAAATACAAGGCGGGGTAGAATTGACCTTCGAGATAAAATTTTATTAAAAAAATTACACAAAATAGAGGTTTTACATTGTTGCCATGTGATAACTACAGCTGGATGCCTTCCAGAGCGTGCACTCGGTTACTTACCTCGCTGTGTTTGCATACAGTAATGCAAAAAAATCCCTCAAACAAAACCCACACCAATAAAAGAAATCCAGTAGTTGTTCCACATCTGTTTCAAAGGTAGGTACTTTTCCAAATAACTCATTTCACAGACAACAGGTGAGAACACTTGCTATGTAGGACAGAGTTCAAAGACAGTGATTTTGTTTCCCCTTCCCTGGCCTGACGTTTCCATGGACATGACTATCTTCTCTTTCTGCAAGGGCTATTAGAATGCTTGGACTAAAGTATGAGCATCTAGGTATTTAACAAAAACTGGGATGTTTGTAAACAAATTTAATTTATTGGCATTACTTACAAAATAAAGTATCAGACCATGATTTTCCATCATGTCTGTGTCAGTATATGGTTTTATTTTTTTATAATGAAACAGAACGAGAACTGAAATACGTCAGAAATCCCAGATTAATCAAGCTGCAGACAGGGTCCCATTTTGTCTTCCTAGTTGCTCATGCGCCTAGGCGGCCATGCAAACACGCGTGTGAGTGTGTCGGGATGTCAATGACTGTTTGTCTGCAATGCCCACGTGCCCCAAAGTAGGTCAGATCCTGCCCCACACTCCCGAGGCCACAGCATTACTCTCTGCCGCCTGCTGCAGGTTTCCTCTTTCGTCCTGGAGATCACTTGAAGTAAAGAAACCGCTACCACCGCTGTCAAGACTGCACTGTCCCTTTAAGATACCACATTCCGCCGTAGCTCACACAGCAGTCCTGAGGAGAAAGGGAAAGTCTTGGGTAAGGTCTTGGAACCATTGTCTGGCTTTGGGACAATAAATGTGATCAATAAAAGTCGTCTCTCCAGTGCACGAGAGAGAGCACGAATCCAGAGCCATGGGTTATCTCCACCCTGAAGACCATATAGCTTAAATGAAGATGACAAACACAAGAAGGGGAAGGTTGAGAGGCCGCAAGGAGGATAACAATGCGATGGCAGCGAGAAACTGGGCTTTTTGGGGGAGAAGATGGGGATCGTGCAGAAGCCAGCTTAGGAAAGGTTGCGGGGAGGGGTGATGACAATGGGAACTGAGGGATAAACACAGGCTGAAGCTCGGGTGGAGACACTGAAGGGAGCAGCAGGAATGGGCTGGAGTGTGAAAGCGGTCGCCAGATCTGAAGCCTTTTAATAAACAACATTTTATGATAATGAACTGTCAAACCTCAGAACCGTGCTTTGGTATTCTGACCACACGTCTGCTCAGCTTACAGCAGGTAAGCACCACAGCAAAGGAGTTCAGTAAGTGGGTTTTCTTGTGGCTCATTTTCTTATTTCTATTAGGTGAGCACCAAGTCCCTCGAGTTCTAAGCTAAGGGCTTCTCTTTCTTTCACTCCCACCCTCCCATTTAGGTAATTCAATACAGGCTTAAGTACTGCTACAGAACTGATGCGGTGGAGCTTAAAGGGAAGAAAGTATCTTTTCTTCTGAAGTCTTGGGACTCGCACATCGCAAAAACAAATAGGAAATTAAGCATGGAGGCTAGAAAGAGGGTTTGCAGACTTGACCTGCAGATGCAAAAATACAAACCCTGTCGGTCTGTTCCTCTGTGTATAAAAAAGGAGCACACGCAGATGGGGAAATAGGAGTCAGCAAATCCAATTTCATTCAAAGAGGAATCCAATCTCTTGTGGCTTAAAGAAGCCAGAGAATCTGCCCATTTCATTAAGTCATACTTCTAAATTTTATTTCAGAAACAAAGATAATTTCACATACTTCAGTGATAAATGTATCAAAGGCAAAGAAGCCTGACACAACACAAGGCTGGTCACACAATGACTTAGTGACTTACATAAAAACAG